AAGAATTTGGCGAATGGCTGGATGGGTTTCCCGTCTCTAACGGCGCCAGACCTCATCTCTGGCGTAAAGTTAGGCAACTTTCGCTGTTAGGGTTCCCTTACTCAGGCCAGCCACGCAAATATTGGTTATTTTGATTTATGCTCCATGGTATATACCTCGATTTCCGATTTTCCTCTAGTCTTTTTAGCACAGCCGCTTTTCTAGCACAGCCGCTTATCAAACCGTTTAAGGAAAAAGATCTTGAAACCCCTGGGTCGGGTCGGTCAGTTCTGAATTCCGGTTTTCTCTTCTTTTGCGAATCGATTTGTGGTGAGACGGATCAACTTTACTAAGACGGGTCGAGTCGACCCGTGCGAATTGTGTCGACTTGTCAACATTTGATGCCCCATCTTCTGAGAATCGACTTCCGGTGAGACGAATCGAGTCGACCCGTGCGAGTTGTGTCGATTCCTCGCCATTTCCTACCCCTGTTTAGCGCTTTCACAACATGATATTATATGGTTTTCAAGGGGAACGGATGGGGGATTATTCGGCGGTCGAACCATAGAAAATGACTGGCAATTAGAGTAGATCATTATGGGGCCTGATCAGGTCAATTTTATCGTGACACAACCTGACCGGTCTCTCACCATGTCATTTACAGGATCCAGTCAAGCTATAGTTTATCCAAATATGATCTCTGCTCCAGACAAGCCAACAAAAGTCTTCGAAGGCGACACTGTGTCATTTAGGTGGCACTACAATTTAGGAGATCTGAAGGATGATCTTTACGAGGTGGTTTTTGGTATTTGGAAGAGTCCTGGGTTCCTGAAAACAAAATTGATAGCTCTCAACTCGAGTGGTTTTTCCTTCACAAGGCCTAATCAGTCATCAGTGGGTTGGGCAGGAAACTTGACAGCCTCTATCGCAGTGTTTGAACTGCACTATGTGACACTTGAAGATGACAAAACGTACGGAATACTGATAGATTATGGTATTCAGTACACTCCGTTGACCGACACCGTTGAGCTTCAAGTTGAGTCCATACGTAAGTATTACTTTTTTTCCTTGGTGCATGAGCGGGCGGCATTCTGCGAATCGTGCAATCTGAAATCTGGCCCGCTCCTAGCGGGCGGTATCCTATCTGTTGCTGTTGAGTCGCCTGTACATCCCTAGCCTCGTTGCAAATTTTCATAGATATATTTTGTTTTGCCGGCTGGGTAGCATTTTTAAGACTTCGGCCACGACCCGCTATAACCGTTAAATAACGTATTTTAAAATTGTCCTTTCTCTCAATCTCAAATCACTTTCAATTGGTTTATTTCTGCAGGTATTAATTTCGAAATGACTTTGTAGTTCTAAATGTGTTTTTAAAGTAGATTTACACGCGGCTCAAAATCCGTTGTAATTCAATAGGCCTTCTCGAAGAAGTAAAAGAAAGTTAAAATGAATAATTTGTGGTCAACAATTGTATTAATCAATGTAACTTTCACTCGTTTAATATTTGAATTATCCAAAATTATTCGTTCGCTGCTAAAAGTTGAGCGAAGTTTTGAGGTCTACTATTAATACAGTTTCGCTAATTCTTTGCAAGTCCCATGAAATTGGACATTTCTATCGTAACAACAGAAACCGAACTAACTGGTAAGATCAGTGAAGAAGAAAACGAATAGAAGTTTGACTCAAGGTCGCTTGCCAAACTGACATGTACTGTTGTTTTATCAAAAGTGTAAGCCAGCCTTGTTAGTGCGGCATTCCCATTTTTAGCGATTTCCTTATGCGTTCCTAATTACATTTTTTACTTTTTGCAAGCGCATTTTTCTTGTTGTTTTTCGCATTCTTTCACTCACGTTGATTTATATTCTGTCATATTTTTTTGTATAATTTTGCTTTGTTTGATTTCATTTGTAGAAAGCTTCTCGGTAGACGTAGCATGAGAGCATCTGAGTTCTTTAGATCAACGTCAATTGTTTTACTGCGATCTACTCTTAGTTTTCGGTCTTTCGTAGTGTCTCAAGATCATACAATTGCAACGTTTCAATCGCGTTGAAACTGATTTTGTTGGCAGTAATAGGCCTTTCTGTGTTTTTTCTTGCGCTAATTCTAATTGAAGGTGTCAAATCATGACAGATACTTCTCTTTTGTCAATCATCTACTTGCTCAGAAACTATTCCGTGTTATATGGAGAATCTTGCCGTTGTCCTAGCGGATTTGGGTCCGGACCCCCCTACAATTGGACCCCCGGGATCCATATCCGCTAGCGGATTATTACCCCCCCCTCCGCGGATTTGGACCCCTTTAACAAAACTGAGTAAAAACATTACCATACATAATTTTCTAATAGAAATAATAATAATTCAGAAAGAAGGCTTTCAAAGATTTTCTTTTTCAGAAAGAAGGTTTATAAAGTAGGTTTTTATTTTAAAACATACGCGTAGACGTTATCTTTTTCTCAGCCTTGTGTCTCAATTTAAGATTTTCGTTAAATTAACCTACAGCTGTAAGTTTGTTGTTTACCTCTGGAATGAAAACGAAACGTAAATTTTGAAATCGTTTGTTTGTTTTCCAGTTCTCTTGAAAAAAAGTGAAATATAAAATAATAAAGACTGTTGAATGCGTCAAAGCTTCAATTATTGTTTGTTTTGCTTCTGTGAAATACCGATTGCTCGAATCTCGACTTTTCGAAACTTCCGATAACTCCAACCAAAAGCCTTTAGTCAACGCAATTTTTCGAAATAAGCTTTATTTTCACGAAGGTTCGAAAAAATCGGGAATTCGCTGTTCGTGTTCCACAACTGATATGCGTTGCGCCGCCTACTTTGTTTTATACGGTTGAACAATTTACTTCTTTATGAAGTTGTTATGTCGCTTTTCTTCGTTAATTATAGTACGCAATCTTGTGTTGAAATCATAACAGACATCGCCTAAAAGCTTGTAGTTGGAATAAGTTACGAAAATAGAATGTTTAGAGGGGGGTCCAAATCTGCGAAGGGGGGGTCCAAATCCGCTAGCGGATATGGACCGGGGGGGTCCAAATCCGCTATGACATCGTAATTACAACTTCAAATCACTAGGGTTCTTAAGGAAAGTATTTCGTTGAGTTTAGAAAAAAAAAAGAATATTATCCACCAGCCTAGGTCGGTCCGTACATGGAAAAACTCTGCCCTCTGTCTTGAATACCGCCCTCGGCCTTCGGCTTCGGGCGGTATCCAAGACCTCGGGCACAAGGGACTTTTAGCACCGAAGGTTTTTTGGACGGCTACGGCGATCTAGATCGCGTGGGGACTGGGAATACCAGG